ATCTCTTGGATGCAATAATCTTTGAAGAGGATCGTAAGCCATGACATAACTTTTTCCTCACAGAATGAACATGATGATGATGAAGACATGGAATCGCCCGAAGAAGATTCTGGGGTGGATGATGGTTCAGACGAAGAAATGGCGTCCCTGTCAGAACACGATTCAGAGGATCCTTTGCGCGGCAGCAAATCAGGGAAATTTCTGTCACTTGGTTCTAGTGATGAGGTGATTACTGCAAATGGTTAAGCAAAGAATCCTGATTTCCTTAATAACGATTCTTACAGAGCACTAGGGATGACGAATCCGATGACGAAAAGCCGAAAATACATAAGTTTTCTGACGATTGGGGAGGGCTTGCTCGTAAAGCGCTCGAGGGATATAAACCTGAACAACAAATCAGGCTAAATTGGATGAGCATAATTTATAAGCAAGGTATGCACAGGTGCTTAGTGTCTAAATTTTCTTTGCTTGATGTTTTCCTATTCGAATTTCTCCCGTTTTGTTTTCTCTTCTTAAACATATTTTAGATGACGAAACACCGGTTTCGAAGACAGAAGAGACTGGTGATGGCCTGTTCAAGGTTCGAAAAACTGTACATAAATCGGTAGATCAGCAGGTTGGTGCTTAGGTATTCCCATTGAGAAAGATGTCCATATTATCCTATACCTTCATAATCGTATACGGTTGCTAAGAGCAGAAAGCGTGTCTCTCCATGAGCCTGTGAAAATGTTGCACAGAAAGTACATAAGGGCTCTTGCGAGTAATGTTGGGGTTTCTGCCTTGACTTGGATTCCTGAAAACTATTGATTACGCCTAAAAAATCAGGAAATTTCTCCCAAACTTGCTTTCGGAACTTTTGATAAAACCAATAATAATTTATGTAGGATTTTAAGCTTTATCGTTATCCTACCCGTAAAGGAGAGAATAAATGAAGTTCGTTGAATTACAGGAAGACGGCTTTCAGTGGAACCAATGTGCTTCGTCTTCATCTGCCACGCTCAACTGGAATGAAGAAGAAACCCGGTTATCTATTGCCGACTGCTTCGTCACGGGGACTTGGTCTGAAGACGATGAGATTGAAGAAAAGTTCCACGGTAATTTTATCTAGTTTATTACTCAAATGGCTGTGCTCTAACGAAAGTGTGAGTCGATAACTAGTTTTTAATCCATTACATCTATCGCTCGCTTTTGTTGGGGGGAACTGATAGCGGCTCATACTTTGGCCCTCTTGACTATTCATGACAATCGCTGTGCTTCAGACTTATGGAACCATGCCTTTCGTCAAGGCTTACCCTAACCTTTCACTAGCCATCATTTACATTAGANTGAACGTATAGCGAATGCTAATAAGATTTTGTTTCTGTAAAAGTGTGTTTAGGGTGATGATTGATCTCTCATTGACTATTACACTTTTACAAACACAGAATCTTATAGCATTCACAAAATCTTCAAAGGTCTTCGTGTAAGTCGATTAGGATGATATTTCAGATTTCCTTGGACGGTTCGTGCAGTTCGTTTGATTTGTTGTTGTTACAGATGAAGTGGATGAGAAAGTGAAAGAAGAGTCGGATAATGAAGACGAAGAAGCACCACAAGACGGTATTGTTTTAGAATTCGTATCAATATAAGGGGTCGCATTTTATTCAGAAAATTGTAATCTTGCGAATCGCAGTCACAACCGCCGATATTTTCAGCGGAAGCCAAGCTATCGGCAGTCGAGCGTGCCGAAGCTGCTGCTCGAGAAAAACGTGCGGAGGAAAAGATTAAACTAAAACAACGTTTCAACGACGATTACGATGACTCATGTAAACACTATAATACCTTGAAGGTTTGCCATGTTCTTAACGTTATAGTGTGATTGAAGATTTTACAAAATAACAGCCTTTTATTTTCATTGGTTCAGAATGAGATGGAAGAACAAGCTCAACTCAATAAGAGCATTTTTGAAGGAATGGATGAGAGCGAGCGGGAACAGTTGGAAGGCTTGTTTCTCGTTCAATATTTTGTTCATTTACATTTTTTTATTTCATCGGCTTTGTCATGAAGGTTTCCTTCTTGTCCAGCTATTTGTACTTATTTCACTATTTATTTCTTTTTCTATACAGGGTTCCGCGCTGGCCGTTATGTTCGCATTGAGATAGAGAATGTACCATGCGAATTTGTCGAAAATTTCGATCCTACTTCACCCTACATTGTTGGCGGTTTATTGACTGGTGAACAAAACATGGGGGTAGTTCAGGTAAATATTGTGTTTAATTTCTACTAAAATCTGTAACAAGATAATAACCTTTCTTTCCTGTCTTCCCCATTTTTCACGACGTTCAGGTGCGTATAAAACGTCATCGTTGGTTTGAAAGGACATTGAAGTCGCGCGATCCTCTAATTATCAGCTGCGGTTGGCGAAGATATCAAACCGTTGTCATATATTCCATTCAGGTAACGATTAATTTAACAAAAGAACAAGAATGATCAGTTTTACCCGGTAAATGTTGTTTTTGTTTTTTAAGTCTGTTTTCATATTTAATGACCTGTGTTTTTTCCACGAAAAAGAGCTTTAGGATCACAATATGAGGCAGAGGTTCTTAAAGTACACTCCAGAACATATGCATTGTCATGCTCAGTTCTGGGGACCAATAGTTGCACAGAACACAGGACTTGTAGCTGTACAGTCAGTCTCTGACAGAACGGTACGCTTGATTTTTATTTTAGTTCGAAAAGGTCACGATGTTACATAATTTTGCATTTTCCAGCCAGGGTACCGTATTGTTGCCACTGGAGTTGTATTAAATCTCGAGAAAAGCTCTGATGTAGTGAAGAAACTTAAACTTGTCGGCACGCCCGAAAAAGTGTTCAAGAACTCTGCCTTTATAAAGGTGAGCTAACCTTAACCTAGCCATATATTCCTCATTCCCATGGACATTGNTTAAAGTTTATGAACAAATTGCTGCCGTGGCACGATCAAGATTATTATGTTTCAGGGGATGTTCAACAGTCAGCTGGAAGTGGCTAAGTTTGAAGGAGCAGCTATTCGAACTGTGTCTGGGATTCGTGGGCAAATCAAGAAAGCATTGCACGAGCCTGCTGGATCATTCAGGGCAACTTTCGAGGATAAAATATTGATGCGAGGTGGGATGCGCAAGGCTGCTATTTAATCAATGTATTGTATAGCGTTTTGAACCAAACTTTCGCATGGTCAAGGTATAAGCCCAATAATAAATACTTTGCATGTATTCCCAGCGAGGGTTCTCTGCAAAGGATCAACTTGCATTTGCATTTGCTCACTTCTTTTTTTACCTTGATTCTGTTCCAACTACATAGTCGTAGATCATGAATCATACTAATTTATACAATTCCATATAACTTAGAGGTTCTCGAGAAGGAAGAATTCTGAATTCAATATCTGCTGCTTTAGATATCGTATTCTTGCGGTCTTGGGTATCTGTACCTATCCCTCGTTTTTACACGCCAGTAATTGACCATCTTTTGCCGCCTGGAGAGCCATGGGTGGGAATGCGTACGGTCGGTAAAATGCGACATGAGCTCGGAATCAAACCCGAACAACGGGAAGATTCCATGTATAAGGTAAACCCATTTTTGGGCACATCGGTTCATTCATTGAAAATTCTTCATTTTTAAGCCCGTTGAACGTGATGAACTAGAGCCAGCTCCACTAGTCGTGCCCAGCAAACTCCAGCAAGCTTTGCCCTTCAAGATGAAGCCCACATATGAGGAAAAAACAAAAGAGGTGAGGCGTTTTCAATGCACTACTTACGGTTGACAATTCCAGAATGCTCAAAGTATTTTCAGCACAAAGAGCAGTTAATCGCTAGGAACACGGCTGTGATTCTGGAACCAGAAGAGGCGAAGAGGAAACACATGATGGACATGCTGAGAACTATCAACACGTATGATGACAAGGTTTATCTCATTTTCTATCAGATCACTGCGAGACATGCATTTTCAGAGACATTACCAAAAAGGTCAATGCTGCGCGGGAGAAGCAGTTGGCCAAGAAAGCTCAAGAGGTACATGATTTTCAGTAATATATCACGGTAGGAAACTAGTAGATTAATTTAGGAAGCCGAATTTGAAGCAAAGCGAGAGAAGAATATAAAGGCCCGCAAAAAGGCGATATGCCGTGTTTTATCGAAACGGGAGCAGTACAGACTTAAGAAGGCACTTGGTCAATCGGCTAGCAGTAGTTGATAGTGGGTAATGAAACTTGTTAGTTTGAGGTGCACCATATTTTTGATATTCAGCAAATAAGTCATTCAATAATTGTTGTTCATCAGCATTGGTCTGATTGTTGATAGCTTCGGTTCTGTTGTTCTTTTTGTTTGTTTTTGTTATTACTTCGTTGAATACTGAAGATTGTTTGAAATACAAGGAAGAAAGCATAAAGAATAAGCAACACTGTCTGTTTGTGCGCCTACATCAGTGGTTTGACCGGTCCGTTTTTTTTTTTTGCAGTATTACCGTTCTTGTTAAGGAAGGGAACGAGAATGGGAATGAGTGTTGATTACTTGCATTTTTTACTACACAAATTCAGGGCATGATTGGGTTGGAAACATGGTTTTACAACTTTTCACAATTCTTCTACAAAGCTAGCACTCCTGAAGCTTTGGCTGATATTCCTCGGCCGTATTTGGAGTACTCTATATGGGGACTATTTAAAGGAGCAGAAATTAGTAGTGTTGCTGGTGAGTATTTGTCTTTCACTCAGCAGAAATATATTAATCGAAGCCGTTTTGAATTTTCTTGGCTCTTATTTCAACAATGTTAAGAATGAAAGGTAATTCACATGGTAATGAGATAACATTACGTCAGCTAGTGTCTTGTGTTACCGCCGCTTCTTTTTGGTTTGCGAACAGCGGCTTTGTTTATAATTATTCCAATAATCTTGTGTGTTTCATCACTGTGGTTTCAAATATCGGGAATTTTGTTATGATCTTTCGTCATTCCA